GGCCTCCCAGGATCTGAAGCTTGCTAATATTCTTATCCGTAGGCATGACATTTTGAAAACATTATTTACTTTAAGTGTGATCATTAAGTAGGCATTAATGTGGTTTAGTGTAGTGTTTGATTCAGAACTCATCAACTAAGGAGTGCAAATCCCTTCTGGAAGGCATCAAGTATGGTTTTATTTGTACTTCAAGGTGCGTATCAATGGCATAAAGTTACTAACGCGTGATGAGATCGAGTGCTGGAGGGAAATGGCAGCAGATTCTGCGATTTCGACCCCCATTTTTACTCGGGCACCAAAAAAATGAAGAGTAAGTGCCACGAATGGCTTGAAGTTAATTTTGCATAGCTCATTTAAGTGGGTTCGGACGATGGACCCAGGAGTTCGTTGATAATGGCCTTGTCCATTCCAAAGGTGGTGGGGAGGACGCACCCTACTATCACTAATCGCATTCCTTGTGTCAGAATAAGATTAAAGGTGATAATTAATTACAACTCTTAGGTGTTCTCAACAGTCTGATGTTGCTCCGACTGCCTTATATCCTCTCCACTGTTCGGCTTCCTCCCTTGACCTTGACTTTCGCTATCCTTTTTTTTCGCCTGCCCTCATCGTTACTGCTTAAGTAACAGTGAAAGTGCAAAAAAAGTGTTTGAAGATCAATGCGAGACAGGAGTTTAGGATGCGGACTTAATATGAGTGAGTGATGCGAAGGTAGATTACTGTGATGTTGAATCAAATATGGAGAATAATAAAGGGCAATATCATTATTATGACTATTCATGTCGTTGACCGGGACAAGAAGATGCGCAATCTTTTGAAGTGCCCGTGTCAACCTTAAAGCCACAGAATGTGCATCACTAAATGCAACATAACTCAAGAATGGCCATCTAGCCTACTCCCGAATTATCACCAATGCACATAAATCCAATTTCCATACGGTATCAGAAAGGTGATTGCGACTAATAAGCCCTCATTTCTGGTGCAGAGTTGTTCATCGTAACACAACTCCAGACCGGTTAACAGGGGTGGGCTACACTCGCGCAGAGTGGGCCCGTGAAAAAGATCGGCTTAAAGGGTTATTCGTGTGCTTGAAGACGAGAATGCTTTAAATCAAGTGTCAGGTCAGAGTGAGCATTCATCATTAATATCAGTGCAACGATTGAACCCATTATGTAACCACGAGCTGTAAGTTGAGTACCTGGCTTACTCTAATTCCATATTATGTAGTGGTGGTAAAATAGAAGTCGTTATTTAAAAGACAAATCAACGTAAACTATTTTCACAAGAAATAATTACACTGCCATTTAATAAGGATCGTTGCTTTGCATAGCAAAATTTTCAGATGGAGAAACATAGAGATTATGAAGGAGGAGGAGAGGACGTAATGAAGACATCGATAAAAGAAAGTGGCATGCAGTACATCAAATTTTCAACGGACACCTACTTTACTCTTGCCTAAAAGCCGCTTTATGTGACCCATGAGGTAGAGGATTCGGATGCACACGCTGCTGACATAATCTGTGGGATGACCGCCATTTCCATTTAATTCAGATGTTGGAGAGGGTACGAAAATTTATGGGAGGAAAATGCAGAAAAGTACAAGAAAGTGTCGCGAGGAATGCGGCGATGAGAAAATAAGATGGAAAGAAAATGAGGCCCAAAGATGGAGGAGACGAACTCAGAGGCAGAGGATGGAGATGAAGGAGGGATGTAGAGAGGAAGAGGCGAACCAACTTCAAGAGGAACGAATGAAACAGCGACGTCAATGACCCACTCGATAGTCTTCCCCGTATATAGTTAAATGAAAAAGAGAGACAATTTTGACTATGAACCATATGCAGTGTTGCCACTAATCATTAAGTCCCCTGACTCAGACTCATTTAATTGATCTGATTTTAAGGCTTGTATCCACCTTCCATTGTTAATAAAAACAAACTTACTAAAGAGGGTGAAGAAGCGGAGAATGAAACGACCTTAGCACATGTGGAATAACCGGGCTTGATTACAAACTGCTGTTGTAATTTCAATGAAATTTCTGTGGCATCTGTAAATAAGGCAACAGGGACACTTATTTGTAGGCGCGTCACTAGTCTTTTAACACACATTTGATCACCTATATTAGTGTGATTATTTTTCTCTGTACCCATTTAGGTACCTTACACCGTCAAAGACAGGGCGCCAAACAAAAGCTAATGCAAGTTCACTGCCGATGTTCTGACCACCGGCTTTTCCTCCACCATTGGAATCCATTTCCTGAACAATAAGTTAATTAGTAATCATTCTACTAGTTTAATAGGGTGTTAAGCTAGAGCAAATTTTAATGTAAAGTTGTCGTAATATAATTATTTACCTTACATTTCGGATTTACAATGAGCCTAAAATGAAGTATGTTTGCTCATGCAACACACAGCAGTCTATTTATGACATTTAAAGGCCTATTTCACCCTAAACACCTTCCACCAACATTACTTAGATATTCTAATCTAACTGGTGCTACGAAGTTCACTCATCACAAAGCCTTCCATCAGACGCGCTTCTAATTTGATAAAGCTAACCTCATTCTGCAATGACGGAGCTCTTTGCAGACCCACTTTATGCAACCTATCCATGACTAGCTTTGTTGGGTGGAATACGATGCGCTGAGTGCTTCACCCATTGCTAAATTTAGCAAGACAGTCCTTAACATTACCGAGAAGCACCTTTGTTTTCGATGCTAGCTTTTCCTGCTAAGTTATCCCTATTAATTTGCATTTTCATGGAACGCAGTTGTAAATATTCATCAGCTAGGAAGAAGTTTGTCAACAATCACCACATAAATACAGCTGGAGAACTTGCATTAATAGCATCACTCCCGAGCATGCGATGTTTAAAATTGAGGAGACTCGGTCAAATGCAGGTTTTGCGTTGTTGAATTTGGTAGGCGATCAACGTGTCATAAATGGTAACCAACATAATCGAATTCGTTGGATAGTTCTCCCATCTGCATACTAATGAACCAAATAGTTGTAGGCGGTTGAGTGCTCGTGCCTTCCCAAGGGAATAAACTCCAGCACATAGAGTCATGATAAATGTTAGTAAAATTCCACTATAATTAATACGTCTTTTAAAGTGAAGCGAGTCAAAAGTTATTCTACCGCGTGTCAGACAGGAAACGGAATGTAAACGCAAAGTCCTCTTTCGGATCTTGAAGTCTATACAGGTGGCACATAAAGTTTCCACCCCTTCCTTCCATCACTCATAAGAGCCCGAACATTTGCGGGTTGTCATAAGTATTCAACTCAGTTGCAAGGCTAAAGGTTGAAACGCACAGACGTCTTTGTGTGGAGCAAGAGGAGATACTCGAGCACCACAGCGCATTCGAAGGCACGATCTTGAGAACTAAAAGCAGTGAACGGTATCTCTGAAAACCTAGTCTGGTAGTGCATGATTGTTAAGTCCACAGAGCTTGGGTGGGGCAAAAGTTGATTAATTGCTTTCAAAAATACGGAAACTGAATTAAAACGATGTTAAGAACTGAATAATGGGTCTCAGAACTCCAAGAAGCGATCCACATTTGGATCTAATAAGAGGTGAGAAGTTGCCGAGCTACTGGCATTGTAGGAAACTGAGGCCGCGGTGAATGCAGGCATGGAAAGACCGACAGTTCACATGCTGCTTTGATAAACCTGGCAGATTTTCTAGAGATGTCGCTGCATTTTGAATGATCTCTAAAGGGGCTGTGCATTTGTACTGAGCCCTCCTAACCGTATCGAGGCCGAGACTTGGGCTGGTATATCGCAGCGTTTTCTCACCTCATAATTCTATTTCTTGCTCTTCAGGTGCATCAAGTTCTACCTGTGAGAATTACCTTACCCCGATAAACCCTACTACACTTTCCCTTTCCGTTTGCATAGAAAGGCTTCGACTTGTGTGTACTTGCCAGATCAGATAATAGAAAAGTTGACGCAATGAAAGACAGGCCGGTTTGCCTTATCACTTCACCTTTCGTTCAACTTTCATCATACATTGACCATTTTCGCCTACGTCAGAGAATTCTTTCCTTCAAATATGTGCCGACGGATACATTACTGCCGCCCGATTAATCGTTTTGGGTAATGCAATGCTTAAAAAAATAAAGGCCGTAAGCTCCTGGAGACCGCTTTGGAGGTTGCTTTGATACTGGTCCATTTTTCAGACCAATTCGTCCTAAGTCAGCGTTGGATTCATGACTGCGGAACTTTTCCGTCCATTCGGCGTTCAATTTACAAACATCATGCGATAGGAAGAACAAATCGCGTTGGTTAAGATGTGGAAAGATGTAATGGGAGCAAGATTGTTGAGCACAGTTGACACAAGCAAAATTCTCATACAGACAAGGAAGTGGTAGTGTACATAATTTTTTCTGGTCTTCTAAAATCGTTGAAAGTTGTGTGCGAAGGCGTTGGTTCGCAAACTCCAACTTTTTTATAACTTTCGGCAAAGCCTAATAGAAATCTAAAATAAAGCTTCATGGATAAAATTTGCGTTACCGCACTTAAATTACATTGCATTAACTGGTGCTCCATATTAGCACCCGCCTTATAGGGACACGTAGAGGTTTGTTGGCTAAAGTGCCGACTGTGGTCGGAAGGTCGAAGAAATCTTATAGAAAAAGTGTTTCCGAGCGGTGTATCAAATACTTCCTCCCAGAAAGGCAAACTTTTATTTTATAAGTACTCTCTTATACACAGTAGAAAATTTTTCTTAAAATTACTTTTTATCCGAGCATTTTCCGGAGTTTCTCTCTTTACAATGTAGCGAGACATATCATAGCATTAAATTTGGATTAGTATTTTGCTTCAAATCTGCTGCAAAGAATAGTGCTACCATCGAACACAACGACACTAGCTGGGTTCGTTTACATCCTCTTGATGTCACAAAGGTCATTAGATTCTGGGTGCTTGAAAATTCGGGTAACTTTTGCAGACTTCCATTGAAAGTGTTTTCACTTATGTTCGAGAATCAAAGGATGGCATTTCTGGCTACTTGCGAGCAGCTGAGGCATAGTCGGTGATACGTGCAGTGTCGATGAAGGTGCTAAACATGTAGAGGGGTAGGGAGAGTAACATCTGCTCTGCACCCTAAAATCACAACTAAATCTCGATAGAGTGCTCTGTTTTCCTGTATTTTAGCTATGCCACCCTAGCGTCCAGCTACAGGGATACCTTGAAATGTACATGAGTGATTGGCCTAGTTCCGCTGTCTACGGTCGTTCAAAGAACAACTTTGCCAGTTCAGCGTTCTAGGCTATCCGAAAAGAAGGAACAGTTGCAATGGGTAGTCGCTGAGTTCACAGCGTGTCTGGAGGGCAGTATTGTTGTAGTCTCTCTGCCTAGCATCCCACCTACCAGAGCATGAGGAGAGGATGACAATGAGAGAAGCACTTTATTTATATTATCGCGTCGCCCTTAATGGCAGACGCGATGAAAGAGCAGTAACTGTAAATGTAAAGCAATTGCAGATTAGACGGTTAAAGGTAGGCTCAGATGAAATGAGAAGTTGCATAGCAGTTGGTAGAGACTGAAAGATGGAGCAGCTTTTGTGTGTTTTACCCGAAGGCTGCTAGAAAAGACTGAAGTTCTCTTTCAATCCTTTTTCTGGTTTCACTGATTATTGTGCTTTTGAAACTTGTAGCTGGTATAGAAATGAACCCAAATAATTTGGCATAAGCGTCGAGGAAGACCGGAGCGGATAATCCCACTTGGATTTCAGGATGGGTGCCTACTTTTACTTGCAAAGAAAAGGCCAACTTTGTTCTCCCAATCGCCAATTCCGTCACGAGCTAAAGTACAAATTTATGCAGTGGTACATGAGTAGCGCTCGCTGGATCAATGCTTTGACCTTAAAGCTTTAAATAAATGGTCATGAGTCATATCAGCATGATTATCCAAATCCTGCTCCAGAGAATCACCAAAGGCTTTTGGTGGAGTGGAGCAAATTTGAAGGGTGTGAAATGCCATCAATGAGGCAGAAGTGTGTAAAACTTACCAGACTGGGAGGCTTAATTTTTAACCCTGTTGCATTAAGGCATATGGCGAGGGTGTATATTGTTTCCCCTCGGAGCAGGATCTGGTTGACTAAAAAAGGGCAGGACCGAACCACGCTGTCAACAGCCTGCACACCAGTTTTCTCGGCGTTAGCAGTCAGGTAGTCTGGCGCGTCGCGAAGAATGCTATCGATGATAGACTCGGCGGTAGAGCCTGTGCAAGTAGTGTAGCTTGAAAGAATTGGAAGCTATATAACTCACCATACGCCGAGGTGGAGATTGGCATAAGTGCCATCAGAAATATTACGCCGTGAGAGTAAAAGCACTGCATGCGAAAGGTGTGATTTGATGGTATGCTTCACTGATTTTGGCTTTTCGCCTTTACAAAGACATCTGAATAGGAGTAGCGAGTGGCAGCTGTATGAGAAGAGAGAGATGGGGAGACATGGAGGTCACACAAGGTGGCACCATTGTCACGCCTATTGATTTGGCTTCGTACTCATTTGAGCTAGAATTGTGTGAGAACGTGTGCAAGATACTGCCTGGCAATGCATTTTGCATCTTGTGAAAGCTGTGATTTCTCAAAGAATACAATGAAAATGTGTAAATTGGCGAAAGGACTTTTAACTGCGTTGATTTTCCTTTCACGGCGGGTGAAAATCCTTAGTGATGTGAAGCAAAGCTTTGTTAAGTTTTTGGACATTCTAGTTTGATTATGCAAGGCAGTCGAAGTTAACTTAATTGTTAAAAGCTGAGTTACCAACACTGTATTGCAAAGTCAACATTAAAATTGATGCCACTAAAGTAGGTTTGTGAGAGGAGAATGGAACTACAATGACTCGGGGTGGTTTATTAACTAGCTATTGCTAAACGCAACAAAGCAATGCATGCGAAGGGATGGAGTTATTATCTGTTCCGTCTTAGTCGCAAATGTGAAGGTAGTCGTCATGGCTGGAAACAATGCATGGCAGTGTAGCCTTGATGCTGGTGGCCAGCTCATACCTTAGGCCAAGGTGTCAGGTATGCCGTGGAGGAGGACAGGAGGGCACCAAAGTAAAGTGTGCATCTAGGAAAGCCTGCGCTAAGAATGGAAGAGAATAGATAAATAGGAAATCTTTAGCGAGAGATACGATGGAACGGAGCCACCATGGAGTTCACCGAGGGTAACTATAAGCCACCAATCCATTCATGCTGACAGCATTGACTGACTATTACCAATTAAGATATCAGAGGATAAGAGTGACGTGATGATGCACTGTCAGCGTCCCAATGAAATCGCATATGGCGCCATTCTTGTGCTTCATGCTGAAGAAAAATAAGGGCAAGAATGAT